AGATGACTCACAGGTTGTTAATGCATTGAATGGAAGCAGCTCTGCCACCTCTGAGCACCAAGCTGAGGGGGGCACAGCTCAGGCTCCCCGCCCCCCAAAATCCAGGGAGATGCCGCCAGTTCCCAGTCAATGCTCCATTGTCAGACAAAGGCAGCACAGAGGGGGCAGTGGGGTGGTGAAAATACCTAAATAAGCAACAATCAGGGAAAAAGGCTCCTGTGGGGACTGAGTTCCCCAGGGATGGGATGCAATGGCCGTCCTTCCTTCACTGCCAGCAGAGCTTGGTGCCCACAAGCCATTCGCTATCGCTGTCCCTGCCACAAGGCCAGGTATGAGCCTGGGTGAAGGAAAAGGGCTCATTAACCCCTCCGATGAAATAATCATCACTTTGGAGGCATTTTTCACGGAAGGGGATGAACTAGCAGATGCACTCGCCCTGTGCTAGTAAGGAGCCCTGCTACGCCCAGCCCTGGTGGGAACAGTGGGCTTGGGGAAGGCTGGCCCCGTCACCAGCTTGAGCCCGGCAGGAGGACAGCCCCTCTCACATTCAAGGACATCTCAGGGATTCTGGTGCCATCACCCTCAAGATATCACCAACCTATGGGAGAGGGATTGTTGCCTGCAAGGTGGTGAGCAGAGATTTTCCATCCAGCCTCTGGACTCAGCTCTGACTCTGGCCATCTCAGGGTGCAGACACCTGGCCCCGAGGGACAGCCCCTCCACACACAATGCCGAGGAAACAATGCTGCAAACCCCCCAGCTCACATGCAGCCACGCAGAATGGTGAGGCAGAGAAGAATCTCATCTAATTTTAACTCCCCTGACGGATGGGCTTTGTTCTTTGCAGCAGCTGCCCCGCAAGGTATGAAAACACTCAGATATGTTGACATGGGAAAACAAAACACACAAATCAGCCCATTTTCCTCTTCAAGGCTGATTTATCTGGAGCTGTCAGTGGAGGGAGAGGAAGTGATGAGCCCTGGGGAGATGGAGGAGCAGCCTGCACTCGCAACTCAGTGGTTGCCAGTGCAGTTGGGCTGATGCTCATTAAGCATCTGGTCCATTCTCTCCCAAACCCCCAAACACCTCAGAGCTACAGAAAACAAAGTGACATTTTCTGCTGCAATTCCCCAAGGTGTGATTCTGTGCATGTCCTGGGTCATCCTTATAAATGAAGGAAGCTAGATGCCAATGAAGCCCCTGCAATGTGGTTCACCACAAGCTGAGCTCCTTCCTGGTGCCCCCATTGTGCTGACTACTTGGTTTTCTGAGTTGGGATGGGTGGGATCAGATACTGGAGAATGGTGAGAGGAGCACAGGGGGAGGAGAGGAGGCTAGGAAGGAAGGAAGGAAGGAAGGAAGGAAGGAAGGAACCTGGTCTAATGGAAGGTGTCCCTGCCAGTGGCAGCGTATGAAATTAGATGGGCTTTAAGGTCCCTTCCTACCCGAATAATTCCCTGATTCTATGAAGATAGGCACTATGAAGGGGGAATAAAAAATGGAGTTTCCTCTCTCTGCATCACAGCTCTGAAATGTACAGACAGGACTCAAGCTGGCTTCCAAAATGGAAATTATATAGAAATATCTAGATATTTTTATATATTTATATTTTAGATATTTTTATATTTCTATCATAGTTCTATACCAGGGCAGAATGCCCTGGCCTCCACCTCAGCAGAGGACACAGCCATCCCAGTGTCACCAGAGATCCAGTGCAAGGCTCTCCCTAACAGCATCATGGCAAGGTGAGAGCCATGGTACGGTTAGGGAGTGTCAGTGTCCTCCTGAATTTCTAAAAATCCTCGTGAAGAATTCATCTCCCCTGCTTCCTCCTTCATTAACCTCCAGAGGTTCCCATGAATTTTGACTGGAGTCCAGCCAGAGCAGATTAATGGCTCTTGCATGTTATTTTTATGTCCATTTTGATTAAAAGCAATAAATTCCAGAGGAGAGTATCTTCTCACCATGAAATACACTTTGTCAATTTCTCAGTCTCTGAGTAAATCAAAACACTGCCATTAGTGGCTCCAGCTGTAAATCCCCTTGGATGGACCTTAGCTCACCAGGCAAAGGAGCGACATGAATTGTGCTCCTCGACAGCCTCAGCATTGCTCTCACCATCTCAATTTGATATATTATTTATTTTTCAGGGTGTGGGTGAGAAAATAAGAGCTAAGGCATTGCTACACAGAACTTCCTAAGAGAAGCAATCCCTGCAAGAGAGCAGGACTTGATCCAAGATCACAGAATTACAGAATGCTTCAGGCTGGAAGGGACCTTAAAGCCCCTCCAGTTGTCACCCCCTTTCCAGTTGTCACCACACCTTTCACTATCCCAGGCTGCTCCAAGCCTTTTCCAACCTGGACACTCCTAGGGATGGAGCAGCCACAGCTTCTCTGGGCACCCTGTGCCAGGGCCTCCCCGCCCTCCCGGGGGGCCAAAGTGGCATTGATCAAACTCGGGATGCAGATGAAGTCCCAGCAGCAGTGCTGGGGGTCAGGACCTGCTAGACCCACCAGGCTGCATTAGGGTGATGCTCTCCCCTCCAACATACCTCAGTTTCCCCAATTTTGGAACTCCATTCATGGTGGCAGCCAGGCTTGGCAGCTGGAGCAGCAACAGCTGAGAGCAGGAAGATGAGCACCAAAGCCCTTTAAAGATTTTCCATTTGTTTTATGTGTCCACTGGGTTTATTTTTAACATTCCAGCTGAAAAAAATTTCTAAAGAAATGCTGGAGCTGAGCCAAGAGGACATGTTTGCTGGAACCTGTCAGGATGATTAGTCCTTTGCAGATAACCCATTGGAAAAGGGTCAGTGTGGGGGCTCTGGCCATGCTGGGAGCCAAGCAAAGGGACGAGTTCTTTTCCAGAGAGCTCCTCAGCCATGCTAAAAGCTATTTCAAACTCCCCACCCTGATGTTTCCTTCCCACTGGGAGAGATCAGCAACCAGCCTGCACCAGAGCTGGGCACAGCAGATGCTCAACACCTCACTCTGGGTCTCGGAGGCTCTTTTCACCCAGGAAGGTGGTTAAATCCCGTATTCTGGACCACACACAGGTGCAGAACATCCCCCTCTGTCCTGCCTGGGCTTGTAAAAGCACTGCAGGAATGGGAACCCCCTCCAGGTAAGGAGGCTGATGCATCCAAAGTGCAGGGCCAAGATATACATGTTAAATCCATCCCTGTGCTCCCAATTCCTGCCTTTACCCATCCCACCAGCCCTGTGGGACACAGCCAGGACCACAGCCACCTCACACCGTGAGGACAGAAACACACAGCACATTGTTCCTGCCTCCCTGCTCAGAGGCGCTGGAGTTCTCATCCCATGGTTACCATCTGAACCATGGGATGATTGAAAAGCCATTAATTCCCTCCTGGGTGTTTTTATTAGGCTCTTGGTGAAATGTCTGAATGCTTCAGTACTGCAGGAGTTTGATACTGGCAGAGCTCTGCGCAAACTGAAAACCCCATCTCCAGCGTTGAACAAGCTGCTGGCCTCTCCTCCATGTCCTGTGTCTCCTGCTCAGTCTCTCTGGAGCCAAATGTACCCAAAATTGCAGCAAATCATCCTCTCTCTCTGTGCCAGCACTGTCCCAGGCCACAGGGCAATGAATTAATCTATTCCCAAAGCAAATAGGAGATGGGGACACCCCAGGTGTGTGTACCCACAGCCTCCACCTCCATTTGGGCTCCAGGAAAAATAAGGCTCCTGCCTCTCAGCTTTGCAGACCCTGAAAGGGGCGAGCCCTGCCAGAGAAAGGCAGTCCTGCTCCAAGGCTGGAAAGGATCTTTGGAAAGGGGAGGGTGACCCTCAACATCCCTCAAAGCCCAGCTCTGCTAAGCAGGTGCTGCTGCTGGGTCTGTATTTGCACCTTCACTCTGCAGCATCTCCCTAAATCCCTTATCCTGCAGCAGCATCCCTCCTAAGTCCCCCAGAAACCTTTTTTAGCACCCCCATCGTTCCTTACTGCCTTCCAAGCATTTCTCCTAAATCCCCCAACATTGCTCCACAAATCCCTCTTCAGCATTCCAGCGTCATTCTCCCCCCAGCATCCCTCCAGTTCCTTCCTCCACCCCACAATATCCCTCTTAATCCCCCTGCAACATCCTCCCAGACCTCCTCAGCACCCCCAAACTCATCCAGCACCCCCTAACCCCACAACACATGATGGGGAGAGTGAAGGAGAGGAAGAAAAAGCAAAGCCAAGGGGGAACTGGAGACCACCCGTATTTGCTTTGTGGACAAGAGGACTGCTTGTCCCCCTGCTTTCTTACAGACAAAGAAAACCCAGAACAATCAGAGCGTCTGGATCCATCCAGCTGGGGACCCGTGCGGGCTCCGGGGGTGGGTGACAGGCAGGGACCGGAGGAGAGACAGGGATTAGGAAGGCAAGCAGGGAGGGGAGGCAGAGGCAGGAATGAGGGTGGGGGGTGCAGGTAAGGAACTGGGTGGTGGGAAAAGAGGCAGGGGACTGGGGAGAGCGCGGCTCAGGCAGGGACTGAGGAGACAAGAACTGGGAGGGGAGGCTGGCAGAGATGGGGAGAGAAAGCGACAGGCTTTGGGCGGATGACTGGGGGGGCATAGAGGGGGGACGCAAGGAGGGAGCCGTGGGGGAGAAAGGCAGGCAGGAATGAGGCATGGGGCGAGGCAGGCAGGGATGCGGGGAAAACGGGACCGTGGAAGGAAGACAAGGACCTGCCGAGAGAAGAAAGGCAGCCATCGACCGAGGTGGAGGAAGGCGGCGACGGGGGGGACAGGTAGGGAGGAAGGGGGAGAATAGCAGGCAGGGAGCGGGAGAGGTACAGACAGGCGAGGGGGCGGGCGGGCGAGCAGGGCCGCCCCCGGCCCCACGTGGCTTTGGGGACACGCGGGTTTATAAAGCATTCCGGGCCCGCGCGAGTGCGGGAGGAGGCGGCGGCACCGGCCGGGAGCGGGGCTCGAACCCGCGGGTTTCGGATGCGCGCGGCGGCTCCAGCGGGGCCACGGCCGCCCGCGGGCCACGGAGTTGCCCATGGATGTGACCATGGATGTGCCCGTGGAACTGCCCTCGGGGCTGCCCACGGCCACTGCCACCCCCTGGGGCAACGGCACCGCCTGGGCCCCCCTGCCCGGACACGGGGTCAACGACACGGGCCTGCAGCGGGCCAAGAATGCTACATCCATCCTCATCGCCATCGTCATCACTGCGCTCTACTCCGTGGTGTGCGTGGTGGGGCTGCTGGGCAACGTGCTGGTCATGTACGGCATCGTCAGGTGAGAGCTGGGCAGGGGTGAGGTATGCGCCGGGAACAAGGGGGCATTTTGGGCACACCGAGTGCGAAAGCACCGATGGGGCCAGGCGGTGCCACGGGTCAGTGTGCAGCACATGGGAGATGTGAGCTGGTGACACTGAGTGAGTGTGCACCAGGAGTGGGTGTGCACTAGGGGTGAGTGCGCACCAGGGTTGAGACAGGACCAGGAGGGAGTTTGCACTAAGAGAAAGTGTTCACAGGGGTGAGTGTGTGCTGCGTGTCAAACAGCAGCAGAAGTATGAACCAGGAGTGAGTGTGCAACGGTTGTGAGTGTGCACCAGGTGTGTCTGCACTGGGTGTGAGTTTGCCAGCAGCAGGAGGAGGGTTGGGTATGAACCGGCTGCTTGTGCGCATCGAGACGGCTGCGATGTGCGTGTGAGCAGTACGTGTGCAAGCTGTACAAGTGTGGGGGTGCAGTGCTGTGCAAAGGGTGAAAGCAGAGGCCATGTGTGCCTGGAGCAGCTCGGGGAGTGCGAGGGAGATGTTTGGGCATGGGCGACACAGCCCGACCCCAAGTGGGTGCCTCTTGTCCTTTGTGAGGAAGAGAAGCCGCAGGGCTGGTGCCGCTGCGGGCTGGGAGCTGCCCTGTTCGCAGGGTGGGTCCAGACCCTGCCCCCCCGCCCTAGCCAGGGGCTGGCGGGTTCCCGCTGCTGCCACCTCACTCCATCAGTGGGAATTACCCACCCAACCCATCCCCAGCTCCTTCTTGTGCCAGCACCTCCTGCAGCTGCCTGACTTCTGTTTTTCTCTAACAAAGAGCACAAACTGCACGGCCCAGCCCCATCTCCCACAACGGCTGAGCTGTCCTCTGGTCCCCTCAATGTGAGATACCAGCTCCAGTAGCCAAGAGACCTACTTCAGCTGCATCCAAGACCTTGGCACCTATGGTGAGGCTTTCCCTAGGCAGAGGCAGGGTCGGCAGGTTCTCTGCACCCCAGAACAAGCAACATGACCCAAATGCCCCCCACTTTAAAGATGGGGCATGGCAAGATACTGCTGTGTCCCGCAGACACTTGTGCTAAAGTACAAAACCTCATCAGTCCCTTTGTCCGAGACACTGGGCGGTCCTGCCTGGTTAAGATAGGTTGACATAGAAAATGGGACCATACAGCCAAGACCACAGGACCAGTGCCAGCAGCGAGGGCTGACAGAGCTCCTCCACAGCTCTGCCAGCAGCAAAGGATGAGGCTGTGCTCGCAGTCACACTCTGTGAGGGCACAGACCCCAACACCTCCAGCCTGGCAGGAGGGAGCAGAAGAGTCTCACTAGGTGCCTGGGCTGCACAGCCACCCCCTTCGCACTGGAGGGGGTTTGGTCCTGTAGGTCCAGAATCTGTGGGGTGATTCCAATTTCCTCTGCCTCAGGTGATGCTGTAACCCCAGCTTGGCCAAAACACTGGTGGCTGGATTTAAACAAACCCTCCAAATTCACATTTTTTTACCATTTCCACCCTCATTTCCCCATCCCTTTCAGTCCATAGCTATTGTTACCAGAGGTCAGCACAGCCTGGCACTGCATGCGCACAAATAAATGTGGTGACTCACCGGAGGGAAGGAAACCATCCTGAAATGTGTCTGTGAGCCACCCTGGAGTGCCCATTGCCCTGGTATCAGGCTCTGCTGCCCCTGCTCCCCACTCTTTGTGGGGCTCTGCTGCGTGTTTTTAACCATCCAAGAGGGCAGGCAATGGGGAGTGGCATGGGGGAGTAACTCGCTGACCCGACCTGACCCCTAATGGGATTTTTCATCCACTCAAAAGGGGCATCAAAAATGAGCCCTGGTCTGAAAAAGCAAATTGAGGTAATTGCAGCAGAGACAGATGCCATGAATAATGTCAGGGTGAGGGATGAGTGTTATTAGACCCCTTCCAGCTGGTTCTGCTCAGAGAGGAGAGGGAAAGCATTTTAAAAAGAGTGATTTCATGTGCAAACATCCTCCCTGTTTTACTGAGTAACTCCATGTAACCCAGGCTTTAGCAAGCCTGACAGCCACAGATCCCTTCACCACACCTTCTAGCCCCACATTTTCCAACTGATGCTGGAATTAAACACAGAATCACAGAGTGGCTTGGGTTGGAAATGACCTTATAGACCACCTTGTTTCGCTACGCTGCCATAGGCAGGATTGCCTTCCACTAGACCAGGTGGCTCCAAGCCCTGTCCAAGCTGGCCTTGAACACTTCCAGGGATGGAGAGTATCTCCCATGAAATGAGCAAGTATCATCCTCCAAGGCCCTGGGACAGGAGGGGCTGCAGGGACATGTGCCTTCGCCCCTTCCATGGCCAAAGCCATCTGGAGTTTCCCAGGGTCCTTGTCAGAGTCGCTCCATGTTGACAGGGTTTAGGCCAGGACTAGGGGAGACCTGTGTCCGTGGAAGAAAGGGCTATGAGGTAAGATCAGCTTGGATTTGGACCTCACTGCTAGGGAGATTTTGGGTGTTTGCCTTATGCTCTTCTCCTAATGCTACCTCTAAGTGCCCTTGGGGGTCCAGGCAGGGTGTTCAGGTAGCCTGGAAGCGCAGCTGGAGCACATCCTGGGGGTCAGGGACCTCTGGGACCACACTGAGTTTGCCACAAAGTCCATGAGTGGTAGGAGCTGGCAGATGCAGACACAGGACCCTGGTATATAGCTCTGTGAATGGACACACCGCAAGCCAAGCACAGCCAAATTCCAAATAAATCCCTCTCCAGAGCAGCCAAGCCCATCGCACACCTGGAGGGAGCCCAGCACACCCAGCACCCTCCCCACCACAGCTCTGACCAGCACTGCCATGCCCACTGTATTGTCAGATGCTTTTAAAAATACTCCTGGAAGCAATTTGCAGCTGTGAGCTCAGGGCTGCAAGTGCCCTCATCCCCACTAAGCCCATCAGCCCCCCACCAGCTCCCACACAGGCTGCAGGGACAGCTGGGTGCAGGCTTTGTCAAGTCAGGCTCTTTCAGGCAGCGGCTTTTAGCAGCTCCAGGAGTTTTTCTTTCACTTATTATTCACTTTTCTTTCACTTATTTAATTTCCAAGAGGTTTGGAGAGGGCGTCCCCACTTGGGAGTCGAGACTGGAATGCGGAGCTGCCCTGTGCTTGCCCCATCCCCTCCCATCTCTTCTCTCCATCAACACTACCCAGATTGTTCCATTCAAGTGCATAACTTCCCAATCAAGGCACTCACTTAATTGCAATGGGTTTCGAAGCCTGGGGAGGTCCATCAGCAGCAGTGGATGATTTGCTCTAATGTGGGCAATAAACCTCTTTCCTGGAGCAGCAGTTTCATTTGCAGCTCAGGAGGGTCACCAGGATGGACGCCTCAGCCTGTGCAGGAGGTTGAAACCTCAGCCCCAACCTGGAGAGAGCTGAATCTTCCCTCAAAACACCCGTACTGGAAGCTAAATTGCCATCCTTATTATCCCAGTCATCCCTATCATCATCCCAAGTTATTCCCATCAACCCCATCATCCCAGTTATGTCCTTCATCATCCCAGTTATCCCCAGCCTCATCCCAGTTATCCCTGTTATTCCAGTCAAATGCATTGGCAGAGTCAATCCATCATCCTAGACATTCCCATTATCATCCCAGTCATCCCTGTCACTGCTTTGCCCTCACCAGCCCCATCCTGCCTGGGGATGGGTGACAGCTCTGGCCCTCCAGTCCCCCACCCCTGGCACATCTGGCAGGGGGTTGGGAAGTGCTTACCCAGCACAGCTAAGCACATCTTGCAGATCATGGAATGAATAACAGATTTTTTTTACCATTTTACTCAAAAAACAGAGACCAAAGATGTGTGAATCTACCTGAACTGACTGTTCACATAGGAGAGGCAAAACCTGACAATACCACAAATTCTCAGCTTTTTGTTTAACCTGGGAGGAAACTTTTCTGCAAAAGCGCTTGGAAAATAACACTAAAGAGAACAGAAAAGGACTTTTCAAGGACAAGACATTTTTAATGCCATATTTAAATTTAAAAAAAAAGCTCAGCTTGAATATTTCCGCCCTTGGGCAATGGGCTGCCATTTGCAGCCATGGTGAAGGAGACGGGAATGCTCTTGGAGCTAGGAGCTGGGTTAAGCTGCTGTTTTCTGTTTTCTCCCAGAGAGAAATTAGTTTTTCAGCTCCAGTTCTCAGTTCAATTGACAATGCAACCTGGTGGGTCTCTGTCCCCACGAATACACTCTCCTGACCCTGCTGAGATGGGGAAAGGATAAGGGGAAGGGATTGGATACCACCATCAATCCCAAGAGCCTCTTTCCCACATCAGCCTGCTGTCCTGGGCTCCAGCCATGGCAGGACCACCTGAGATGGGAGCCACTCAATCCCCCCACCTTAACTTATTTCATGTACCCCCAACATGCAATGAGCTGTACTAATTATCACAGAATCATATCTGTGATAATCACATATCCTAGAATGCTTTAGATTGGAAGTGACCTTCAAGCCCATCTCATTCCACTCCCTGCCATGGGAAGGGACCCCTTCCATTATCCCAGGCTGCTCCAAGCCCTGTCCAACGTGGCCTGGAACACTTTCAGGGACGGGGCAGCCACAGATTCTCTGGGTACCCTGTGCCAGGTTATTACCACCCTCATATCTGCTTCAAACCTGCCCTCTGTCAGTTTAAAACTGTCTTACCCCTATCACACACGTGAAAAGTCACTTTCTGTCTATTTTATAAGTACACCAAGGAAAACAACCTCTTCATCTCAGCAACAAAGGGGTCATCTCCCCCCTCTATGCCTTACCCTAGTGCTGCTACAGGCAGGCTTAGGCATGCAGAGATGGTTTTGGGCAAACTGACCCTGATGCTAATTAATGAGGGTACATCTAAAAAAGCTTGAGGCTGGGGAGGATGCTCTCTGAGCAATGGGGATTTGCTGGAAGGGAGCACAGGAAGAGCTGGAGCTGCTGGTGCAGCCCTGCAAAGAGCAGGGTCTTCATAGAGCCACTCCTGCCCCACATGTGTTGCCCTTTGGGGGTGTCCAGCAGATCACTCAGTATCTATTTCCAAGCCACCACACCATTCAAAGCATCCCTTTGACCAACACTTGCAGGATTGGATGCTCCTGGCACACACACACACACACATCCCTGCTTCTCTGGCATCTGCCATAACTTTGCCTCATCCCTTCAGGAAAGGTTTGGACATGAGGGACCACACATTTCTCTTGCCATGGCATGACAAGAACCAGAAGCAGAGCCAGCCCTTCCCAAATGCCCTGGGGGATACAGCCAGGCTTCCCCAAAGGCTCTGGAGCTCCAGGCTGGCTAATTGGGCCGCTTCCAGATGGCCTGTTTCCGGGGGTAATCGATCCAATTTCTGCAAGCAACCTTGTCAGGGAAGCAGGCTGGATAATCACAATTTACTAGGTGGAAAATCAGATGAAGGAGAGTTGAGGGGATAAAGGACATTGTGCAACTGGTTCAGGGAAATGCTGAGCACATTGGTGCTGCAGAAAGGCACATCACAACGCTTTTGCCCACCAAGGCTGGTGTCACCTTGTGAGCAGACAGGCTGTGCCCCCTCCTCATCACATCAAGTGCCCTGACAACCTGTAACATGCCCTTTCTCTGCCACCCCCAGGTACACCAAGATGAAGACAGCCACCAACATCTACATCTTCAACCTGGCACTGGCTGATGCACTGGCCACCAGCACACTGCCCTTCCAGAGCGCCAAGTACCTCATGGAGACCTGGCCCTTTGGGGAGCTGCTCTGCAAGGTCGTGCTCTCTATTGACTACTACAACATGTTCACCAGCATCTTCACCCTCACCATGATGAGTGTGGACCGCTACATCGCCGTGTGCCACCCGGTCAAGGCCTTGGACTTCCGCACGCCGGCCAAAGCCAAGATCATCAATGTCTGCATCTGGGTGCTCTCCTCCCTCATCGGAGTGCCCATCATGGTCATGGCAGTCACCAAGTCAAAAGGCAAGTGTCTTGGGATACATGTCCCCTCCTGTCCCATCAGTTCATCCCAGGGGTGATCTGGCAAACTTGAGCTCTGGTCCTGTAGCAGATTTGTGGTCAGTAGTGGGCACCTGTCTGTGACACCATAAATGTGCCCTGTCTTGGAAAAAGCATCACGGTGTTATTTCCCATCTTTGAAACTGAAATTGTCCTCCCTTCCCCTTAAGGGTAGGGATCCCACACCTTTCCCCATCTCCAGTCCAACCAGTGTCTCTCCCCACCTCCTGGTATGGAAAGCAGGGGGCCTAAAAAAACCCCAGAGGTGCTGCAAAGTCTCTAAGTGGCTCACACTAAGATCTGCAGCTCCTGTGTGGGGTCACTGGTCCTTAGCTGCTAGGAAAGCTCTGGGCATCTTGAGGAAGTGGACAGATTTCAGTGAAGGGTGATATGTGGATGTCACATGGTGATGTCCATCATGGGGATTGAGAGAAGGCAGGATTGGTCTTGAGTGGCCCAGGAGGCCCTGCAGGGAAAAAGTTCCAGAGTCACTGCATGCACTGCCTCTTCTCAGTGTCTTCTGGACAGGGGTCTGATGGCACAGAGCTCTTGGGGAACCTCTGCCAGGAGCAGGCAGGTAGAAATGCATCTCCCCGGGGTTTTAACAAGCCATTACTGAGCAGAAGACAGAATATTCTCAGCAGACACTGAGCTTCCTCTTTGACCTTCCTCTCTCCTACAGATGGTATGGTCCTGTGCACTCTCCAGTTTCCTGACCCTCCCATCTACTGGGACACCGTGACCAAGATATGTGTCTTCATCTTTGCCTTCTTGGTCCCCATTTTGGTCATCACCATCTGCTACGGGCTGATGATCCTTCGCCTGAAGAGCGTCCGGCTCCTCTCAGGCTCTAAGGAGAAGGATCGCAACCTGCGGCGCATCACACGCATGGTGCTGGTGGTGGTGGCAGCCTTCATCATCTGCTGGACACCCATCCACATCTTCGTCATCGTCTGGACGCTGGTGGACATAGACAAGAAGAACCCCTATGTGGTGGCCAGCCTGCACTTCTGCATCGCTCTGGGCTACACCAACAGCAGCCTCAACCCTGTCCTTTATGCTTTCCTGGATGAAAACTTCAAGAGGTGCTTCCGAGAGTTCTGCCTGCCTTTCCGAGCTCGTGTGGACCAGAACAGCTTCTCCCGCGCCAGGAACACCACGCGGGAGCACGTCTCCACCTGCACCGCTTCTGAAGCCCGCAACAAGCCGGCATGACTAGACGTGGGCAGCCCCCAGCAGGGCTGCCAGGGACACAGAGGAGATGAGCTGCGCTCAGAAGTCACCCAGGTCACCACCACAGAGTTGTAGCAGAATGGTGGGCTGGGCGCTGCTCACTAACACTGCTGGGTTTGCATACAGACTGACTGCAAAAACTTTTTACATCCTGAGAAGGAAAAATGGGAGAATTGGGACTCACCAAATGATGTAGGGCTCTCCTACAGAGAGAACAAGAGGCAAGTTGGGCATCTCCTCAACCAACACCACCCAGCAGAGGCTGTCATCCTCCAACATGTGGCTCTTGGCAGAGCCCAGAGCACCAGAACTGCAATTTCCACGTGCTTATCGTCCTGCACAGGCCAGGATGACACCACAGCCCATGGCAAGAGGGGAAACACTCATATGGCAGAAAGGAACTGTGCCAGGATGTGATCATAGCATCACAGAATCATTCAGGTTGGAAAAGCCCTCCAAGATCATCAAGTTTAACTGTTCTTCTACCACTACAAAGGCCACCACTAGCCTATGTCCCCAAGTGCCACATCCACACGGTGATGGTTAAATCTCTTTGGTGATCGTTAACTCCACCACTGCCCTGGGCAGCTGTGCCAGGGCTGGACAACCCTTTCAAGAAACATTCCTTAATATCCAGCCTAATCCTCCCCTGGAATGACTTGAGGCCATTTTCTCTGCCATCATGGGACCTCATTCCATCCCACTCTGAGGAGGACAACTGGAGATGGGAAGAAAAACTTATGCCACTTCAGAGACAGTTTTCAAAAAGCTCCAGATCCATTGTAAAAACTCTCCTGGAGTTCCTCAAACTGGGATTGTTCCCAGTGAAAGCTTTCTACTGTTAATGTCATTGTTAGGTTGGTGTTATTTAGAGACCTCTGACTGCAGCTAAGGCTGCCCTGGACATTGATGTGATGCTGGGCTGAAAAACTGGGGAGAAATCCTAGTGCAAGCAAACAGCACTGGGAGGGCCTGCCCTGACTGGGCCATGCTTTAGCCAGTATGCTCGGAGGGAACTCTTTGTGTACTTTTATAAATATATATGTATGTCTGTCTATAGCTGTATGAAACTAAAGTGACCCCAAGGCCTCCCATAACACCTCCCACTACAGCAGCTGCTACATGTGTGATGGAGCTGAATATGCCGGATCCAGAGCATCTCACAAAGTACTTGAGACACTATTTCCAGCTCCAACCCTTGGGATATTTGCCTTACTGTGGCATTTCTGTACAGGAACCCTGCTTTCTAAAAGTTAAAGCAAAATAAAATCGAAGATAGGAAGCAGTTTCCAGCTCTCTTGTGACTCACAGGCATCAAAAATGAGCAAGGTCTGGTTCAGGGGGGTAGTCTGGGGAGTGATGAAAGTGCCTCTAAATTTACTCTTTCCTGTGAGAGTGGGGATAACCTGGCACAGGGTGCCCAGAGCAGCTGTGGCTGCCCCTGGATCCCTGGCAGTGCCCAAGGCCAGGCTGGATGGGGCTTGGAGCAGCCTGGGACAGTTGAAGGTGTCCCTGCACATGTCCCTGTGTCAGGGCATGAAACTGGATGGGCTTTAAGGTCTCTTCCAACTCAGGCTATTTGATGATTCTGAATTCAAGTTTTAAAAACATACCTGGACTTGGAAAAACTCACCTTTGTGAACACCTAAAGCCCTTTAGAGCTGAGATTGTTTGCAAGCCCTAGTCACCAAAAACCTCTTCTGCCAACAGTCATCAAGACATAATTTTATTTTAAAAGACAAGCAGCCCAAATTCTGGCCCAAATTACATTTGTAATTTAAATACAAATGAGGATTTAGCGGAAAAGCAACAGAAACGGGTGTTGGAGCCTGTAACTTTGCTCTGGCTTAACGAGACTTTGGACTTTAAGGTACTGATCACTTCTGCAGTGTAGGCTTCTTAGTTCCCCAAGAAGGAGAACCATAAAGAGTGCAGACTGGATGTGAAAACCACTTGAGGACCCCTGTCCATTACCCAGCACCCTGGGAAAGCTGAGCCAGGCACCAATTCTGGAGATTTCACAGCCCAGTTAAACTAGCAGCCAGCCCAGATTAATTGTGCAGCAACCTGTGCTGGCACATGCCAACCAGCTATTTCCAGGGACATTTGCAGGCCAAAAGCATGTGCTATTGCAGGAAACATCCTTTCCCCAATTTTTTTTCTTTAATTAATTCACCAAATAATGAACCCTGATGTATTGAGCTTGTGATTAATTATGATGATGCCAGTTTCTTTGTCTGCAGGTTTAGGCTGACTTTGGAATTGCATTAATATGCAGATAGAAATGAATGGATCTGGCTTTCCTGGGGAGGACAGGAGCAAGAGCTCCCACCTTCTTGACCCTGGAGCAGCCTGGGGTGGACCCAGGCTCTCAGCTCAACAGAGATGCTTGTCTTGCAATTCATCATTTAATAGGGAAAGAAAATCACTATGAATAATTAATTCCTAGAGGATTTTTTTTCTCCTTTCAGAGTCACAAATTCTGCTTAATTCGTACTGTTTTATTCCCTGAGCAAATGGGACCAGGAGGAACATGCAGGGAGGGGATGTCTGGGGCACTGTGTAAGCACTGGAGCTCCTCCAGGCAGGGAAAGAGCCAGGATGCCCCCCCAGCTCCCAAGAGCTGAGTGAGCCATATGAGACTTTCCTTATTTTTGGCCTGTTGTAATGGGAAAGGAACCAGGATGTCAGCAGTTTGGGGAGGGGACAGAGACACCACCACATCACTATTTCAACCCAATTCTCATCCTAAAGAGACCCAAGACACCCTTGCACCAGGAGCCACACCAGAGCACTGCACATGGCAGTTATCCTGGGATATACTGGTCAGGCAACAGCCTCAATGATTGGAGAGACAGCCCAGCACAATGACTAAACCATCATTAAACCCTGTCACAGGCAGCTTGGCCATAATTAAAGCTCATTTCCTCTTCCAGGCAGGAAAGGAATAACAAGAAAACAGTCTGAATATCCTCCAAACCCTCCTGAAGATGCAATTCTCTCCCTGTAGATCCAGCAGCACCACTGCACAGGCAGAAATTTTTTATCTAAAACAGCAACATGTTAAAAAAACATGAAAAAAAATCCCTCACAAACCTTGCAAACAACACTCAAAGTGCTTTTAATCTGGGCCCAAAAGATCTTCACACTGCCAGGCCTCATCCTCCAGGGATGCTAAAGCCCTCAAATACCACTTTCCCAGCTTTTGTTTGTGAAGCAAAAGCCTTTTATGCACTTCCAATAGCAACAGATGGAGACCAGAGTGTGGAGCTGCCAGCTGGTGATGAGGGAGAGTCTGGAGGTGTCAGTGCTAGAAAAACTCCCCCATTGACTATGGCTGGATCCAGGGGTCCACTCCACAGGACCCAAATTCCTCCTCCTAATCCTCAAAATGCCCCCACTCACTCTGTGAGCAAAAAACCTTGTTAATGAGACATTTCCCTTCCCTCAATTAAGCTGTTTTCCTCCATCCACCCTCTCCCCTCTGTGTGGGGGCTCATCCTTCCCCCAGTTTCCAGCAGCTTCCCACTGAAGTGTCACTGGTTCCCAAGACAATTGCTTATTCATCAGTTCTGAATATTTTAAATCTTATTGTTCTCTCCCAGCCCTTTTCCCATGTTTCTTAAATATAACAACAAGCTTCCCATTCACAAGGACATGTTTTCCCCTTTCCAGAAACAGGAACAGCCCCTCAGGGATGGGTACAATCCCATCTTATTTAGGAATGATCTGGGTTTTCTCTGCACCCTCTGGAGCTGGAGCAGGGAATTGCATTGGCTCCTGGCAGGATCCAACCCTGTTGTGTCCACACCACTGATACTGTTCCTGCTGCCCGAATGTGGGAGATGCAAAAACCTGCCAATGCAGGGGACAGGGAGGAACTGGGAGCACTGGGATGTGGGATCTCCCCAATAGCTGAGGCTGGTTTTGGATAAATATTGCTGCTGGGAATCAAGCCTAAGTGAAGAGCAGTTTGTCCATCAGGTATCCAGCAGGTCACATTGCATTGAACAGTATCAAATGGTGATGGTCCCCAGGGAGCAAAATTAGCCACAGGATTAGAGAGCACTTGCCCATGGCTCAGCCTGCAGTGATTGCAAAATATGGGCTTGATCCCTCACAATACAACATTCCCTGTGGGCCCACATCCCAACCTTTTGCTTAGAGGTAAAAATAAAGTCCTTTGCAAGCCCAGGACTGCAACCACCAGAACAAACCCACCTGATGGGATGTGGGTGGCCCCAGCCCCCCAGAGCTGGACCCACTGAGGCCATCCCTGATTGTAAATCCAAGCTCATCCCACATGGGAGCAGCAGAGCTGCTCTCAGTGCCCAGGCTCACTAAGGAACCGGCTCCTGCCCAAATGAATTAAGTGCAAACAGCAACCTGGGGCTCCAGTCACACCAGGATGTGGGAATTTGCCCCATGGCTTCCAGTCTGCACACACATCTGGCTCAGCTCCAGCTGGGAGCACCCAGCACGGACATGCTAGGACCCTTCCAGGTGTGCCACGGGCTTGGCTGTGTTCCTGGAGACCCAAAGATACCTGGGGTGCCCCGTCAGACAGGCTGGGAACTGAAGAGGAGGTGACAGAGAGGACAGGGACCATGCCCTGTCTCCGTCCCAGTTCTCCCAGTGCCATGGCCCCACAGCGGCCAGCGCATCCTCCTGCTGCCACCTGGCGGCCACAGAACACTCGGACACAGCTGGGACCAGGACAGCGTCCCAAAAAGCAGCCACCTGTCCCGACTGTCCCCACGGGACAACTGCCCAGCCCTCCAAAGCGCAGGAAAAGCCTGGGTTTATCAAAACTCAGTTTATTCCAAATGTTAAAAGATTTTTTTTCGTCCTTTCTGCCTTGATTAATCAACCAAAATACATTTTCTTTTTTTTAAAAAATCCAACCCCTTTGGAACCATTGTATAACCCCAGACACCCCAGACCCCCCTCCCCAGCCACAACCCCCCTCCTATTGCTATAATTTAACTTTTTGCAGAGCCCTCCTCACTCCAGGTACCGGAAGGTACCTCCTATAAGGAGAGGATGGAGCAGGCTGGGCACAGGAATCAAGACCAGTTGGATCAGGGAGGAAATGGGGAGGAGTCCTGTTGCTCCCAGCAACTCCATGCATAGCTGGGGTCTGGATGCCTGCTCATTAAGGCCCTAACAGCAAATGAACCTCCTTCCTCAGCAAGTGAAAGAGAAGAAAACCAGTGTTCCCACCCCTGGGATGGATTTGGTTGGGTTTCCAAAGGCAATGGCAAAGAGGGAGTGGCCAGGACTGTGAAAAGTAGCATGAGGTGGCTGCTCCAGGCCATGGAGAGTGGGGAACCTGCTCCTGGCCTCATTGCCAGGCAGGGGCTCAGCTTGAGGGGATGGGAGGCAGGAGCCTCGAGTGGTCACACTGTGCTAGGCATCATCCAGCAGCATTCTCCCTCACCAGGCAGAATTTCCCCACTGTAGTCACAAGCTCTGGATTAGAGGATGGAGCTTCCTGGGCACATTCCTGCTGGACTCAGATCCACCTGGAACAGGCTCAGAGGGGTTTGGGGGGTGGAAGCAGACAAATCCAGAGGTGATTTAGGTGAAGGGGGTGGAAGAGCATCCAGATATGGGGAACATGGGGACCTCGGGGAGACCATTACCCAAACCTGATTGCAGAGTGAAGAACAAAACCCTCAGCTTTGCTGGGCCAGGAAACATTAAAAAAAAAAAAAAACAAACGAGAAGTGGAAATCCATCCAGGCACAGAACTGCGATCAGTTTAGGACCAAGCTGAGCCGGGGAGCTGACAGAGCACTGGGCACCACAGGAAAACAGACAAATGCTTGCAGAGAGAACCCACGGGCACCCTGTTCCAGCCACGCAGGCGCTGCTGGGCCGAGCTCCGTGAGCCTCCTGCCCTCCCCAAGTAATCGGCTCCCCAACCCAGGCAGAAGTTGTGGGGGGTCTGGGGGTGCTGTGATTCCGCTGGGTCCGGCTGCAGTGTCGCTTCATCAGCTCTGCTCCTTGTCACTGACCAGCAGCACAGTGTGCTGCCCACCGCTGGACACGGCCAGCACCCGCCGGTTCTCCAGCTGCTTCCCCGTCATCTCCACGGGGCTCCAGACATCATCCTCCTCTCCGGTGCCCAGCTGGTAGTTAGTGCCCATTCCCCACGCAAACGCTCGTCCTGCAACAGAGGTGAAGCAAGCTTTGAGCTCTCAGTTGTTGCACAATGGGAAGGCGACCTCGCACCCAGACAGTGCATTGCTATGAGTCCAAAACACAAGCAGGAGGAAGAGAACGAGCACTTGCAACTCAACAGGTGTTCCGTCACAGAGCCAAGGAACTTTCATCCCTTTGAGGGAGAAAAATAAACCCACAGCCCACTCCAAACCTTCCTTCCTGCGGACACTGCACACAGGCAGATGCAGCATCAGAGCATGGAGGTCTGGCATCGGCAGAGTCAGAGAAGAGACTGTCAGGCCAACAACCCCTTCCTGGTAAACACCACATGACCAACCCTGCTGCCCACAAACAGGCCCACAAACACATCTGAGCAGCCACTGCCCAGCTGCCCCCAGGAGATGGGCAGCAGGACCTGGCTCCAGTCCCAACCCAGCTGGCAGTGTGTGGTGACGGTGTGCAGGGCTGGATGGAGGAATGAAGGAAGTGCAGAAGCCAAGACCTGGCACTCACCATCACTGCTGACAGCATAACCAACTGACGCTCCGCAGGCCACCGAGACGATACTGGGGAGCTCTGGGATAACGGTGGGTGTGCTCTTCTCCTCTGCCCCTGTCCCAATGCCCAGCCGGCCATACTCTGCCCTGCCCAGGCTGTAGGCTTTACCTGGAGCACAGCGGACACACAAGACAGGAGACCTGAGCGGGGCAGAAGTTGCAGCAAGGCCAAAGCAGACCAGGACGTCTTCCCAGGCCTGACTCCTGAAGGAGCATCACTCCTCCACACCACACCCTGAGACCCATCCAGAAGGGGCAGGGTGGGATAGAGACCCCTTCAGCTCCTCAAAATCAGTAAGCTGAATAGGTGCAAGAGCAGAGTTCACAACTGAGTCCAGGTTTCTGTTGTCAGCTTCCCTTCGCTGCAATCTCACACCAACATTGTTTCCTTGAACACCGAGAGCTTGGAGGGCTCCAGCACATCACCCTCATCCCAACAGCTCCTTGGCCAGGTTGAGGGCCATGGGATTCCCCCCACCCTGCTGTGTGACTCCCAGCCCACCTGTCACAGAGTCACTCACCCTCAGAGTCGACGCAGACCGTGTGGTGCTGCCCGCCAGAGAACCCAACCCAAGACTTGGTGGAGTTCTTGAAGGACGTGAGGTTCTGCGGGGAGAAGCAGGGCTCGGTGTCCTGGGTCCCTGCAGGGTGGGACGCACAAACCCAGGCAGATCAGGTTCATGGGCATGGACAGCTCTGGCACCGAGCCATCCACCCTGGGACTCACCCTACCAGAGACCAGTACAGAACTGCCCAGCCCCAAAATCTAATTTCTGCTCAAACCCAGTGGGCACGAGGGCTGGGACCTAAACCCAGAGTGAGCCCCACCCCCATTTCCAGCTCTGGTGCATGCAGTGTTTAGATTCTGGGGCACCCAGCAGCTTCCCCCACCAGGCCAGGGCAGCAGTGGACTGGAAGGAGATCTGGAGGGACACAGGTGAAGCTCACCCAGCTGATGGTAGTTGGAGAGGCCAAATCCATAGATGTGTCCCTCATGCGTGACGGCGAAGGTGAAATACGCCCCGCAGAAAGCGTCCTGGAAGCGCATTTTGCTTCTTCTCCCTCTGCCTCTGACAGGGACAAGCTGGGGGACCAGCATCCGTTCTGGGGTAGGAGACAAGGCGTTATGCAAGGACTAAGGATTTACACCCTCCCTGCATCTAAGGATCTGGTTCACTGCATTCACTGATTACACATAAGCCCTTGAGCATCAGGGACTGGGGCCCTTTGTTCCTCTGCAAAGGGCAGAGCCAAAGCCAAAGGCTGCACCTCTGAGAACTAAATCCACTCACCCAGTCCTCGCCGTCCTCCTCGGGTGGCAAAGAGTGCTGGCACTCTGCCCAGCTGGCCCTGTTCACCACAGCCACATGTGAACAGGTCGCCGTCCACTGTCAGCATCACCAAGTGGTCGTTTCCTGGGACAGGAAGGAAAAAGAAGTTATGGAGAAGTCTTCAACAAGTCCTCAGGACTGAGATCCCACAGGTAAACCCCAGTTGTCCCAGCTTATGGGGTTTACTGTACTTGATACCTCAACACCAATTGTGTCACCACCTAAAACTCCAGGATCTCCATCTTCCTGATCCCAGGAATTCAAAGCAGTTTGTCTGGGAAGTCGGTAAGGAGACAGAGGTGTGGCCCAACCACTCCTGGGTCCCGGACAAGCACCCTGGCTGCTGTGCTCAGCTTCTCCAGGCCTCATTAGAGAGTAAGTGCTCTGACCCCAGTGGGTCACAATTCAAGCCACTCTTGGAAGGCATTCTACATCAGACTGGTCAAATATTAACTCAATATGTGAATCTGTTGGCGCTAAGAGGTCTGATCTCTGGAAGAGTCAGAGATCAGCAAGTACACCCTTGTATCAGGCTTGGAACAAGCCAAGAGGGAGGAAAAGTTCGTGGACGTTCCTCAAGGGTTGTGACAACCTTGTGTACCTGCCTGACCCTGCACACCCCAGGGCCCTGCTTGTGGAAGGGGCTCACAGCTGGTCTGTGAGTCAGAAAGAGATGAAGAAGAGAAGCTGATAAGAGTCGCCTTTGCCCCTGAAAGGAGTCCTACCAAGGCTGTCAGCATGTAAATGGAGAAGAAAAATAAACAAGGGGTCCTGCAGTTAGATCTTGACAGAAAACAGTGGTGTTGACTGCCTTGCACCAATGAACATTATGTTGATTTATTGTGGCCAATGAATAGGTATAAGCTTTGTGAGAGGATATAAAAAGACAGCATGCTGCTAAAATAAAAGAGAGAAGCTTTCTTAAATACACAGTGTTCTTCTGTTTGTTAGGACCATCTCAACAACTACACCTGCTCACCTGAAACTATTTTAACAACAGGTGTATCGAGCTGGAGCAGCACAGGAACGGAGCTCGTCTTCATGGGCTCCAGCAAGCCGATCACTCCATTGTTATCCTGAGGGGGGAGAGAGACACAGGGATCAGCCACAGGAGCAGCAGCCACCAGCGAAGCTTCCAGTATCTGAGGACTCAGCGTACCCGGAAGGAGCCCCAGACAAAGACCCTGCCATCCTCAGTCAGCGCGGCCGTGTGGCTGTCCCCCGCCGACACCTGCACCACCTTCTCCTGCAGCTCCACCAGCCCTGGAGAGCTCTCAGACCCTTCAGCTGAGGTGTCGCGTCCCAGGGCACCTTCATCATTGCAGCCAAAGGTGTAGATCTGCAGATTGGGTGCAAGTGGTCAGGATGGAGCACAGAGGGGCAACAGGCTGAGTACGAAGTCAGGGGACAGAGAGTCGTGAGGTTGAATTATTACAGAATCACAGAATGGTCTGGGATGGAAGGGACTTTAAAGCTCATTTCAGTCCACCCCCTGCCATGGGCAAGAACACCTTCCACTAGCTTGCTTTAAATCCTGTCCAACCTGGCCTGGAATACTTCCAGGGATGAGGTGTTGTCATCTTATTGCGAAGCTCTCATACCTTCTCAGTGATTTCTCACGGGCACCTCCTTGCAGCACTGACTCCTTCTTCCTCACAGCACAGCCAACAAACTCCAAGTCTCTCCTCACCCAGCTAACCCACTCTTTTATAGCACTCATCCTTATTAGACACAGCTATGGCCTGTTAAGGGCAGGCCTGTTCCTAATCTTTGGTAATTAGTACAGCTGCAACTCCTCAGGGGTGAGATTACCTTCTACACTATCTTTATTTTCTTACATTCTAACCCCCCACAATGAGGCAGCCACAGCTTCTCTGTACCAGAGCCTCACCACCTTCACAAGGAAGAACTTCCCAATATCGCAGCTAAAATGGCAGTGTCATCCATCTACTCTCTGTCAGTGTGAAGCCATTCGCCCTTGACCTATCACTCCATGCTCTTATCCTAAGTCCGTCTCCAAATCCTTTCAGGTCCTCCTTTTGACCCGCTAAATTTTGTGGTCCACGAGACCAGGCTCACCCCTACAGCCGGAACAAGATGTGGGCAGAGCAGTGGCTGATTCCTACTCCCTGCTCCAGAACACATCCCAGAACCCACTGCACTTACCTTTCCAGTCTGGCTGAGGCACACTGTGTGCATCCCTCCAGCTTCCACCTGCACCACCATCTCCGGCAGCGTGACCAGAGCTGGCTTCTTCCTCTCCATGATGTCTTCACCCAGACCCAGCTGCCCGACATTACCCTGGCCCAGTGTCAGCACCAGCCCAGGCTGTGAGCGATGTGATGGGTGGCTGACTGCGGGGTGTGAGGGGGAGAAAGAACAAGTCAGGGTACAAGTTTCCTGGTAAAAATCCCCCCTGGGAAAGTGGAAGGAAAATTCCAAGGGATTTTTCTTACCTTTAACCTTTTTTGTCTCAGTAGATTGTTCTTCTGGTACCAGGATCTTCATTCTGCGTTTTGCTGGCATCTTGGAATCTAAATGCCAAAAAGAGCCAACATTACCCTGGCCCAGTGTCAGCACCATCCTAGGCTGTGAGCGATGTGATGGGTGGCTGACTGCGGGGAGGGAAGGGGAGAAAGAACACGTAGGGGTACAAATTTCCTGGTGAAAATCACCCCTGGGAAAGTGAAAGGAAAATTCCAAGGGATTTTTCTTACCTTTAACCTTTTTCATCTCAGTAGACACTTCTTCTGGGACCAGGATCTGCACTCTGCGTTTTCCTGGCATTATGGAATCTAAATGCCAAAAAGAGCCTGTTCAGTGAACCGGGCTGTTCACTGTCTGGGGTTCCCCCTCACACCCTAAAAACCACCTGAGGGACTGGTGACTGATCCCTTCTCCTACTCTGGGAAAATAGAAAGTTTTCCCTTGTATGTTTTATCCATACTCTCTATTTTATGTGAACGTCTCCAGATTTCAGGTCCAGGCAGGCGAGGAGAGAGGGAAGGGGAAGAGAAAGGAGAATGAAAACGGGAAAGGGGAGAATGTGAGCCAAGCCGTACCTGCGTCCTCACCCCCTGCCCCGTTCCGCATGGCCCGATCACGGCCCCCGCCCCTTCCCGCCGTTCGAATTCCCCGCGGCGCCGCCCCACGTGGGGCGGCGGAGGCCACGGCCCGGACCGGCGGCTCCTCCCGCCGCCTGCAGCTTCTCCCGCTGGCCTGTGGGCTGCGCCGAGGACGGCCCCGGGCCCGCCGGGACCCCCGCGGCCGCCCCCGTGTCCCCATGCCCGCCCCGCCGCTGCCTCCCGCCGCTCTCCCGGCTCGACCCCGCCGCGCTCCCTCACCGCCCGCCGGCGCCGCCGCGCTCCGCTCTGCGCATGCGCGCGCCGGCTCCTGGCGGCGCTGCGCCCCCTGGCGGCCGGCGGCCCCGCGCGGCCACAGCACTGCCCCCGCAGGACAAGGGGACAGAAGGACAGAACGACGACAGGTGGGGCAGGACAGGGGGACAGAAGGGGCACAGGTGGGGCAGCACAGGGGGACAGAAAGGCACAGAAGGGCAGGCAGCACAAGGCGGCTAGCAATACGCTGCCCCACAAACACTAAATCCGAGTCACTAACTCATCCTGCTTCTAACCTGCAGGGATGCCTCCAGCCTCCTAGGCCGCAGCCAGCCGGGATGGAACAGAGCTGCTGCAAAAAACTGGCAATTAAACACGCTGAACAATGATAACGGAATATGGAAATCCAGCAAGTCTGCGACACCACTTTCTCCAGCAACCTACTGCTGCAAAGTGGAAAACACTTTTACTCTTGAAACAGGAACTAGACCAAACTCCTCCGGTTAATGGCAGGACAGCAAACTGTAGTTTGCCCTTCATCCCATGCGATTACCCTTATTCCAGTGATTAACTCTGCTGTTCCAGTCCGAAGGCCTGCATTAGGCCTTATTAGCTCTTATTTTTTAATAAAATAATGTTCCTATTTAACTAACATCTTGGCTGGTACAGCGGCCTTTATCTGCTTATCTACAGCCCATTGCCCAGGGGTCACCCACAGCCCCTGAGATTGGAAAATCTTGGAGAGACATCACCATTATTTATCCCAGGCTCATGCTGGGAGATACACAGCCACTCCCTTGTTTTCCCGGGCCACGTCATGGCCCAGAGCAGGACATCTGGGAAACTGCTGATGCCGGTATCATCAAAGCCACGGCAACACCTCCCCTAAACCCTCCCTTTAACAGCACTCCTCTTTAAAAGGGCAAGGGAAAGCCGTGTGATCACCCTCCCTGCTCCCCCCCCCACCGGGGTAACAGACCCCACCAATCCTTCTCGATTTAGCCCTTGATATGAAGGTATTGTGACCAAACCTGGACTGAAAGTAGGATCTGTTCCTAATCCAGCCCCAATAGAGTGCCACACAGCATTTCTACACACTTTTTCAAGATGGTTCAGCAGCAAACCAGAATTATACTCCTACACAGGAGAGGCACCACCCAGGGCACAAAGCTTCCCTTAATATTCAGATCACTCACCAAAAACACACACCAAGCCATAGCCAAATTCAGTTTATTGAGTTGTCTACTGTAGATAGGTACAGACTTGGACATCAACATGAGTGAGAGCTGTATTTCAGGGCCTAAACACACAAACTGCGGCTCCCCCGCCCCCCCCCCCCCCCCCACATCCTGTAATATAATCCACCCATTTTCAGTATCACCTTTCCTGTAATATCCTGGCCCCACAAGGTCGAATCCACTGGAAGCTTCTTTAGTGTGTTTCACAGGAGAGCACAGGCATTATTTCCTTACCCCTTATACTTCCCTTAACCCTCCTCCCTTAGTTAGAAGCATCCCCAAAGCAGCTCTTTGCCAGCCAGACCAGCCAACCCCTCAGCCCGTGGACTGCCTTTCCTTCCCGTGCAGCTCACCCATAACGTGTAGCTCCAGGCTCTGCTCCACAAAATCCAGCAAGTGCATGTCCCATCAAGGGACCAGGGCCATCCGTTATTTTTCATGCTCCAAGCACGTGCTTTAAAAAACCACTTAATTCACGCAGCCCTGCTTCCATCGCGTTTAGATTTCTGTGGCTACATTTTTATTACACGTAGTGCGCTAACAGGAACTGGGCAACCACCTAGCTTAGGCCAACTCTTAAAATACTCACCCTGTCCCACTAAAGGAGGATTTTCTTTGTCACTTCGCCCCAGCAGATTCTGCAATATTTTAGGAAAAAGAAAGGTATTTTTTCCTGCTTTTTTCTCGTGTCCAACAATACATCAGTAGAGTTTTAAGTTTAGCACACAAATTTATCTGCAGTGTTTTTTTCTGTCTGCTAAGACTCATGGCTTTTTTTCCCCCCCCTTATTACTCAGGCATTTCTTTTCCGTGTCTATCCAAAATCGAACACAATCGTCAAAGCAGGAGCCTCCAACCTGGACTCACTATATTACCACCCATGTCACCCGGAATCAAATTTTATCACTAAACCGACGCATTATTCTAGAAACATCTTTGATATACACAGCATATTACATTTTTCAGGCAATTACCTTCAAAAATCGTGTTTCACTCCAACCTTTTCAATTTTGGCACTGGAAATGAAAAAAATAAAAAGGTACTTTAAGGATTTGCTCAGGAGGTCGTGTTTTTATCTCTCTCCCTCCCAGCTCGGCACGTGTTACCCGTCCCACCCCGCGTGTCAGTGTTTCCTGCATGGTTTGTCTCCTCTGTCACAGCCCAAGGGCTCAGAGAAGCAGTAGGAATATGCAGGCTGCAGGCTCGGGGCCCGGCTTGCTCTCCAACGTCGTGGAAAGGGACTATACGTCATGGGCCCGAGGGCCTGCGCTCCCATGCGCCACACGGACAGAGCCGAGAGAGAGCGACTTCTCCGGATATCCACGTTGGACCTTTGCTTTAAACATTTATAACCACCTTGCCCGCCCCAGGCCCCTGCGCGTCCCAGCTCCGCCAACCACGCGGCGGGGCCACGTGAAAGATACTCACGCTAGAGCGAACTGGGCAAACCAGGTTTAAACAGGCTTTGGTGGAACCTGTAGGAAAAGGAAATGGCTCTGAGGGGCGGCTGAAGTGGCGCGGACTAACTCCGCAGCACCCACAGCCACGTGCCACTCACAGCGTAGTTTAGCGGTAAAATGGGGATGGAGCGGGCATCCGCTGACACCGCAGCGCTGCGCGGCCAGCACGACCACGCGCCACAGCAAGAAAAAGGGTTTAAAGGGTAACAACGGTTAAAAGGGTAAAAGTGAAGCCAACTCTACCTGCATACAACGCCGCTCCTCACGGTGAAAGAGGCCGAGCTAAACCGCGCGGCGATTTTTATAGGGGAGGGAGGCGGGGCTAAAATGCGCGCATGCGTCTCGAAAGAGGGGCGTGGACAGACCGTATATGGGCATAGGGGCCGGGGCCAACACCCAGCGGAAAGGGCGGGGCCTGCCGCGCCTGCGCAATGGCTGCAAGGGCGGTTGGTACATGCGCAGTCGGAAGTGAGCGAAAAGCCGCGGCTTCAGGGGAGGCGCCGCCATGGCTGACCCGCGCTCCACGCGTTCAGGAGCCGCCGGTGAGGCTCCTGCTGAGAGCAGTGGAAAAGACCAGACCACACAAGCAGGGTTTAAGAAAAAAAATTCTAAAATACTTTTATTTAATAATTAAAATCTGTTGTTGCGGAGACTGATATACAATGTAATGGCGGCTGTACAGGGGCTGCTGTGAGGGAAGAGACGCCAGCGGATGCTGGGCCATGTGGTCTGTGGACAAGACAAAGTTCTTCTCCCCCCCACCCCAAACCCCCGCACAAGTGGCATCTCACAGATAGTTTAGTTTTGTGCATAATACAGCAGTGGCCCTACCAGATTTTTTTTAAACCCGCATTGAGGAAGAATTTTTCTCTCAGAAGAGAAATACCATCTTTTTAAGGTCACTTTTTAAACCTATTCTTCCCCTCCTTTTGACCCAACACAGTGAAACGCTCAAGTTTCCAGTAGGTTTAGCTGTAAAAATGAGAAAAAGGCAAGCTTCAACCCTGATTTGGGAGAGCAAAAAACATTTGAGAGAAAGCCACAATAAAAAGGACTGACTACTCTCACAGTTTCCCCAAATTAAAAAGTTTTAAAAAGGCAACAGTAATGTTTCCTGGTTCTGTAATTTGTTAAACAAGCCTAAATATCTCAAGATCTGTTATTAAGATCACAGCAAGTGTGAGAGAGTGCAGAGCATTTATACATATATTGGGATGGTTTTCTTTTTTCCTTTTTTTTTTTTTTCTTAACAAAAAGATGCAGCATATGTTAATATCTACACAATTCCCTTCCAGGACAGCAAACCGTTGGTCAGTAGTGATTCAGGGCATTAAGGACATGACAAAAAAGCAAAACTCCCAAAACATAGCGAGTGCTATGTCAGTTGTCTGCCAGGGTTCTCTGTACACAGCTAATATACACACATTTGCTTCTGAGCACATGCTCTCCTCAGCTTCCCAACATCAGAGCTGCCTTTGTTTTTAATCTCCCTTCCTGATGGAAAGGAGAAGGGAATGAGGAGTTGCACTCCCCAAGAGAAGTCTGTACAGCTTGGGGAGGAAGGGGTCGTTCCCCTGGGCACGGTCTCCTGGCAGAGTCATATTGCTGAGCCACGCGAGGTATAGTGTCAGTTCCAGCCTGATGGCATGAGAGATGTGTTTGTTCCAGTGAAATGCTACATTCAGACAGGATTCCCCTTCCCTGGCCGAAAGCCCTTTTCTGGATATGTTTGGAAGGCAAATCTTGGAAGAGCTGAGGTTCCACCCTCACTGTATTGCCTGGGAGAGGGATGCAGAGGACTTCCAGCCCTCATGGGTTTCTTGCTCCCTCCTTGGAATATTATGGTCGATGGTATCTGAAAGCCAAGTGAAAAATCTGAGTGTTATCCTTGGAACTCAGGTTAAATGGTTACTTGGGCACTACAAATGGCCAAAGAGAGTAAATTGAATTATTATCTCAGAACTCCCAGCCCTCAGGGAAGCTGTGAACATCAAATAATTTCACTTCCTGTGCTCTGCACTCAACTTTGCCACACAGAGCTGGAAGGAATCACTTGGGCCACAATCCAGACCTGACTACACAGATTACATCCAAGGTAACTCATTAGCAAGTTGTTTTGTGGCTATGGCCGCACATCTCTAGCCCCAGAAAAGCTCACTCCAGCTGCAGCTTCACACTAGTTTCCGATGGTCACTGAGCCTCCAGGATGGAAGCCCCAGTTTAAGGAAAACCAACCCACTTTGTGTCTGCTGCTGCTCCAGTCACCCCCCAGGACTCAGACAGAAAGGGACATTCAATCTCCAACTGCTGCACAAATAATTCTAAGGTTTTAGTGTTTTGCCACTGAGTACTGTCCTTGCAGCACAGCTCTGACAGCTCTAAAAGGTGGAAAACTCTTATGTTAACACATTCTCACCTCGTGAACTGCTTGCTCTCCTCGTGCACTTCCATTTCACAGCTCTTAAACTCATTCAGCTCCTTCCTGATGGCTGCCTGCACAGAGAGGGAGATTTTTTTGGAAAGGGCTCAGAGAAAGATTGGAGCAGCCACCCCAGTTTTCACAGTCCATTAATGCCAAGCTGAATTTAATCTGCCTTCCCTGATGAGGGCTGGGCAGTGCCCAGAGGTGGCCTGGGAGGACAAGGACAGGTAGTTCCCTGCCAGTTTCTTGAGCCTGCAGGGAACTGCACTGCCATGACCAATACTCGGTATCCTTGCTGTGTGTCGAGAAAAGAGAATGGGGCTGGGGAAGGGTCTGGAGCACCAAGAGCAGCTGGGCAGGCTGGGGGGCTGAGCCTGGAGAATAGAAGTCTCAGGGGGATCTTCTCACTCTCTACAACTCCCTGACAGGAGGGTCAAGAGAGTTGGGGGTTGGTCGCTTCTCCAGGTAACAAGTGACAGAACAAGGAGAAACTGCCTCAGGCTGAGGGAGAGGAAGTTTAGATGAGATACAAGGAAAAACTTCTTCATAGAAAGAGCTGTAGTAGAACCACCATCCCAGGAACTGTTCAAAAATGTGCAGATGGGGCACCTGGGGACATGGTTTACTGGTGAACATGGTGGTGCTGGGTAAACAGTTGGACTCCATCATCTTCAAGGGCTCTTCCAACCTTAACAATTTCATGATTTTATGATTCTTACATCACTCAAAGTGAGGCAGAAGCCATGCAAGGCTTTCAGACTGCACCCACCTGGGCTCCACCTTGCCATGAGGCAGCAGGAAGCAGAGCTGGGGCAGCACATGCAAGTGAAGGCACACAGGTGGGGTGGCAGAGGGAACAGTGAAGAGGTGAAGGAACAGAGGAACAGAGCAAATCTCCTTGGCTCACACCCGTTTGTGTGGGCCACCCTGGCTGGCTCCTCTTCCCATGTGGGGACAGGAGACTCTCAGTTACCTTGTCAGCTGGAGTCAGCTTTGTCCATGGCTTATCTGCTCGCCGGTCATAGTCTTGAGCATCTGTTACTTCCACATATTCATTAAACCTCAGGATCTTCCTGGCCTGCAGCTCTGCCACTGTAGGCCTTTGGCTAAGCTGAACACCAGGAAAAACAAAGGAGGTTAGTCTGAGCCTTGTCCACAAAGCAGATCCAGGACTAAGCACCCCAAGCAAAACTAAAACTAGTTCTCTCACTGTGCCTTAAGCACAGACACTACCAGATCCTGCCTGCAAGGGAATAGGTAAACCTCTTACAGACTGGATACTCCCACTGGGATCACAAAGCCAGGCTAGGGCAGAACCTGGGCCACACTGTCATGGAGGAGGACACTGAGGGTTGTGGGAACAGCAGCTACAAGGGTGAGCCCTGCATGACAGCCCTAAACACAGCTTCAGCAACGGCAGCACTCACTTCACACCCACAGGCCTTGGGGAAGCTTTTCCCAGCCATGAGCAACAATCACAGTAGCTTGGATGTAAGAGCTAAAAGCAGCTGTTACTTTAGAAATGGATTTCAGGGAGCCTGGTGTGAAGTGGTGGCTGCTGAAGCACTGTGTTAAAGCAGCCAGGCCAGCAAACCTTTAAAGTATCAGGTGCCAAATTTAGTTCTCATCTCACTTGTTACACTCACTGCCAGCTCAGATCTCAGATCTGTCACTGACAAACACACGGCCCTGGTGTCAATGGCTCACCGTGGGTGACAGACCACGTTCCAAAGTCACCGCAGTGCGAGGGCACTGGGGACACTTACACAAGAGCCCCGCTCATGGCCCGCAGCACGGCACCTGCAGCGTGCTCAGGCCCCCGTGCCCGGCAGCCTGGCCAGGTGGCTGTCACCACAGGAGCCAGCAGTACCTTTCTGGTGAGCCGGCGCTTGATCTCCCGCTTCTCAGCTTGACGGTCAGCTTCATTTTTCGCTGCCAAGGGGGAAAAAAAACATTTTTCATGTAAGCATCAGGCTTTGAAAAGTGCTTTCTAGGCTAGAACAAAGGACAGTATTGAGCTGGATCAGATTATCTACAGATCTAAAGGCTTAGGACAGGCAGAGAGCGCAGTACAACTCAATACCCTGTGTCACCTCCTGAACTGGCGGGGCAAATATGCCCCTTACACA